TGCTGCCGGTTCCCAGAGCCCCGACGAGCGGAGCTCGCTGCCCTGGGACCTGCTCCGTTCCCTTCCCTGGAAATCTCGCCTCCGGGTCGGGCATCCTGGAAGATCCCCGATTCCCCCACACGAGGATCCCCCAACATCATCCTGACGGCACTGTTGTGCAATTAATTCTACAGAACTCCCCACACGGCCGGCACCACGTTTTAAGCACAACCCGCTTCTCTCTAGCACCAAACAGATTGCCCCCGGCTGTTCCTTGACAGCTGGGCGGGGCCAGAATCTGACAGTTGCCCCGCCCCCAATTTGGCACCCGCCCCCTATGTCCCACTTAGGGAGGAGCGGGAGAAGCTTTTAGGGACAGCTTTGTAGGGCCAGTGCCCACACCTAGCCCTAATCTTGGGCAACCTCCCTCAAGGCAAGGCTCCCAGGATCTTCCCAACCTGCCCACCATCCACCGCCCTCCCCCACTTCACTGAAAGACTGAGCACAGCTCCCGCTCACAAGGACAAGGCCAGGGCAGTGCTGGGCTGCTTCCTCGCACTCTAACGGTTGGCCAGCTCCCTCAGCACGAAGGAGGAGGCTGGCACACTGGTCTTCTGGTCAAAACAGTTTAGCCAGAGCTCATCCTGGCTGCTGGGCGTGTAAGGGATGTGAGCCTGACCTTCAAGCCTCTGTGGGAGTGACAAAGGAAGGGACAGGGCTAGAACCTAGGAACTGCCAGCTATGCCTCCAAGCCTCTCCTGAGACACCATAAACCTAGCCAGGTGTGTGAGCTGAATGCCCAGGGTGCAGTCTCCAGCAGAGGCAAGAAGCCTGAGGTCACATCCCTACACTCTACTTCTCCCCCAAATGTGGCCCCAGCCCACCATTATCCTATGTCTGTGCCCCAGTCACCTTTTGTCCACGGAGGAGAAGGGGCTTTGATAGTTCTCCCCTCCCCTCTGTGGAGCCTCAAGTGCTCTTCACTGGTAAGGGGGCTTGCAGACGGGACCAGCCTATCCTAGAGTACTGACTGAGGTAGGACCCTGGAAGGTCTAGACAGAAGAAACAAAGATGGAAGCCTCAGTCCCAAACAACCCCTGGACAACACCCCCCACCCTCCATGTTCAGGTACCTTCTCCATTCCCCAAAGCCCACCTATTCCTCACTGCCAAGTTCTCTGCCTCAAGGTCCAGTAAAGGCTTCTACAAAATCAGGCTCCACAGGCTGGGTCCTTCCACGGTGTCTAACTCCGGGTCTCTTCACCAAAATATTACTTCTGTACTTCCCAAGTCATCTCACTAGAGAGACCACAAACATGGTGTTCAGAAGTCTAGCTCTCCTGCTTTGTGGCTATGGCAAAGCAGATGACCCAGTTTCCTTCTCTGTGAAACAGGAACACAACAATCTTTAGCCCCATGGAATTGCTTTGTGGCGTACATGAGATGAAACCTTAGTATACAGCAAGCACTCAATTATGGGAGGGCTTATCACTGCTGCCGGACAAATTAGGCACCACTGGAAATCTAGAGTGTAGATTCTAGGGCCACATTGCCCAATAGGATCAGACTAACCTCTACATTTCAAGTTCTCAGCAGTCGTATGTGACTAGTGGTGACCTTGTAGGACAGCACAGATTTCCATCATCTCAGAAAGCTCTACCAAATGGCATGGCTCTAGACAGAAGATGTCATTAAGAGCAAAAACGGGACCCTGACCTGCCTGCGGTTCCAAATCCCAGCTTTACCACTTCCGGCTGTGTGACCTTGGGCAGGTTAATTAGGTTCTCTGTGCCTCAGTTTCCTCATTTGTAAAATGGGGCTCATCATACTACCCTTATAGGGTTGTCATGAGGATGTACATTTCATGTTTGTAAAGTGCTTAGAACAGTATCTGACTCCTGGTAAGAACTCAGTAAGCATATGTGAAAATCACTGTCGGGCAAGGCAAGGGGGAACTGGATCTGGGAAGAGCTCTGGGCCAGCCCAGGTAAAACCGAAGTGACCCATAAGTGGCAGGGTTGTGAGGACAGTTGTCAACGTACTTTGTAGAGTAACTTGAAATACTTTCAGAAAAGGGGAGTGGCTGCCCCCCTCCCATCCTTCCATCCCTCTGGGCTCTTGCAAAGGGTCAGGGCTCCACACCTGCCCACCTTCTCTCCCCTTACCATCTCCGTAGGCTGGCCCAGGGTCCTCAGCCCAGGTGGGTGGGAAGGGCACTGTGAGAGGTAAACGGGGCCTGCGAGGGGTCAGATAGCCACCAGGCATCCCCCCGGGCTCATGGCCAAGGGGGCTGGGGGGCCTCTCGGCGGCCGATGTGGCCAGCAGCTCCTGTAGGATGTTGATTGGTGAGACGGTGAGCTCCCAGTTAGTGATGCCAAAGTCACGCAGGTGGGCCCGGGCGTGGCTAGAGAGGCCAGCCCTGGTGTCGAAGCCGGCCCCGCAGAAGTCACAGCGCATCAGGCTGAAGGTGCCAGGGTCAAAGTTAGCCACTGTGGAGAGAGAGAGGACATGGACTGCCTGGGAAGGAAAGGGTAGATGACTCTCCAGCCCCAGCCCTGCCTTCTCCCAGAACTGCTCACCCTCCCAGGACCACACACCTGGTGCTGTTCCTCATCTGGATGCCACCCTTCCCCTTTGCCCGTCATACCCCTGCTTGTGTCAGCTCCTGAGTCCAAATCGCCCCCCCCCACTCCAAGAAGCCTTCTCTCCTAACCTCCCAGGTCCCCCCTCAATAGCTCGCAGACTGCACCCTTAAACACTTCTCCGGTGTGGATTGGCAATCATTTGGGTGAGTGATCAGTTAAGACCCGGAGTTTCCCCCCATCACAGCCCTGGTCACTCAACCTCATAACTGCCTGATTTTGTGGCTGTCGGCCCTTGTCCCTCACCCCTAATGCACGTGTGTGTGCGCGCACACACACACACACACACACACACACTCACACATACTCACACACACTCAAACACCATACCAGCACCTCCCAAAGTGGCCTCCATGTCTGCCAGCATCAGAACCACCCAGGGCGCTCATGTTGGAGAAAGACCTCTGGAATCAGAACCTTGGTGCCTGGGCCTCTGCATACCTCACAGGCAGCCCCAGGGGTTCTGAAGCCAGCCAGGGTCCCACCACTGCTGTGACTGGGCCGCGGACTCCAGGAGAGCAGGGACTGCTGCTTCATTCACTGCTGTGGCCCCAGTGCTCAAAACAGAGGGGACCTCGCTCAGTAAATATTTGTTGAATGAAGAAACCAGTGAAATCCCCTGCCTGGGGCTGACTCCTCTGCCTATACTCCTTCCTCCAGCTGCTGGAAGGGCTGGGGCAGGGGGGTATCCCCATACCTCGTCTGAGGTGGTGGCCTTTGCTGTGGCTCCCAGGTCTTCCCAGAGGGGAGGCCCCAACTTCACCCAGCTTGGCACTATGGGAGGATTTAGAGTGAGGGCTGTTGGTTGGTTCAGACTCAGCTGCCCAGCTGTGTGTCTCGGGGGCCTCGGAGGGAGGTGGGTGCTGGATCGAAGCCCCCCTACCTTTTTTCTTCTTCTTCTGGAAGGAGAACCTGCGTTCGATGGCCTTCACCTCCTCGGCGGAGATGAAATGCCGAACATTGTAGCTGACGCCCACGCGGTTCAGGTGGCCCCGCACGTGGTTTGCCAGGCCGATGCCGTTGTGGAAGCGATCGGGGCAGTAGGGGCACTTCCGCTCCTCGTGCTTCAGCGCCATAGCGGGGTCCCCCTCCAGGATTGTGTCCAGCCCCAGTGGGCCGCCCAGTGGTGCATCCAGGAGTAGGAAGTCCAAGGGGTGGGTGCCCTCCAGCCCCAGCTCCTCGGGCGGCAGCCTCGGAGGTGCCCTGGCTGCCGCAGCCAAGACCTGGGACCTCAGCTTGGCCACCAGCACGACAGGTACCATTCCAAGGAGCTGCTGCTGCTGTGCTGGTGAGGCTGCCGCCGATCGGAGGGCTTCTCGGAAAGTCCGCTTCAGTTCCAGGGCTGCCTCTGGGATGAGGCCAGGGACAGCGAGAGGTGGAAAGACCCCATTCTCAGGGAAAAAGTCCATTTCCGAGGCCAGCTGTATATCCTCCTCCTCCTCTTCGCTCCAGGGGTGTCTCTGGTCCCCCAGTGGGGCTGGGAGCCCCTGCAAATGGACAGCATTTTTGCTTCTACTGGGCTGTAAGGAATACGGGGTGGACGCTAGTGATGAGGGAAAGGCTGGCCTTCCCAGGGGCCTCTGGCCCACGCTGTGCGGTAGTGGCTTTGACAGTGGGAAATCCCTTGTGCCCAGCTGCTGGCAGCCTGGGCCAAAGGCCAGGCTGGGGTCGTATCCAGTAGGGTTCTCCCGCCATGTAGGGGCCAAAAACGGCTCAGCGTTGCCAAAGTAGTCCTCAGCAGCTTCAGGGAAGCGGGCATACACGTCCTGGCTGGTGCCAGGCTGGCTGGCAGGGTTCTCCTCAAATGCCTCACCATCCTCCTCCCAGTGGGGACGAGCGTGCACAAGCCTCACATGCTCCCTGAGTAGGCTCTCGCTGGGCGCTGGGAAGCCACAGAAAATGCAAGCGTTGAGACCTGAGGAGGCTCCATAGGGCTGATAGCTGAGGGCAGTGGCGTCGGGGCCTGGGCTGCCACCCCCAAAGTGCTCCTTGGCAGCCTGGCCTGGTGACTCTCGCACGTGCAGCTTGGCATGCTGCACAAAGGCTTTGGAGGAACTGGTGCCAAAGACGCACTTAGAGCACTGCAGCCGTGCCTCCCGGCCCTCATCGTTTGGGATCTGCTTCAGCTTCTGGATTTCTTCGAGAATCTTCTCCCTGGAGGCCTGGTGCAGCTGCCGGTGGTGCTCCAGGGCACAGGGGTCAGCAAAGGCCCAGCCACACTCACTGCAGGCCAGTGGGGCCAAGTTGGCGGGGGGCTCCTGGCCTGGGGCTCGGCGATGCTGGCTCATGTGCTCCAGAAGGTGCTCCTTCTGCTTGAAGTAGATGCTGCACTCCACGCACGGGAATACAGCCGGGTCCTCGTCCTCATCCTCATCCGGGCTGGCCACCCCCTCAGCCACCTCCTGCAGCAGCTCACACAGGTAAGGACCGGTCCGGACAGGGGGCAGCAGTGGCTGCAGTCGCTCCACAGATGCCTCCGAGTTCACCGTCCAGGTCTGAGTGGCCACTTCTGTGGCTGACCGAGGCAGACACCACTCCGAAGTTGGCTGGGCCAGCCCGTCCAGGTCTGTCAAGTGCTCTCTGGCTCCTACCTCCACATCCACGTTCTTCGTGGTGCCCTCTCCAGGCACCAGCACTGTCCTGAAGGAGGTGAGAGGTGGGGGTGGGGGCAGCAGGTCCAGGGGCAGCCCTGAATTCTGGGGTGGGGACTGCTCATCTGCATCTTGGAGCCAGTTGAACCTGGAGTGGCCCTGGGGGGACTTCTCCCAGAGCGTCGATTCACCCTGGTGGTACAAGAACCTTCTAGAGCCCTCAGGCTCAGCGTGGGGCTTCACAGTTCGCACAATGACCGAGTCCTCGAACCTCTGCTCAGATGGGATGCCCTCCCCAGCTTCCTGGACCAGGGGGTGCTCCCAGGGCCCCCGGTCACCGGGGAGGCCAGAGAAGTGGCCCAGAAGATGGGGTGGTGGGGAACCTGGCCGGAAGTCCAGGCTGCCTCCATCCCAGCAGCTGCAAGGAAGTGCCAATGGGGACAGGTTAGCCAGGGGCCTCAGTTTCCCTTCCTTGGGCAGGGGAGAGGGGTCTTTCCCAGGCAGCCTGAGACAAGCCCCAGAGATCCAGCCCGAGAGTGACCTCAGAGTGGCCAGGAGTGTGGGGGAGCGGGGAGGAGCGGGGGGAGTACATGTGGACCATTCTAGAGATGTTGGACCAAAAGCCAGATTCAGCTCCCAGGATGCACCTATGCATATAGCCTAGCCCTGTTGCACTGGAGGGAGTGTGTACTCACAGGTGTATCCCCCAAGACTAGGGGCACAGTCAACTCTCATCTGTCCCCCGGGAAGGCCCAAAGCTCTGCCCCATGTTCCAGGCTGCTTTTGTATTAGTCCTCCCTGAACTGGGGGGATTTAATTTATTTAGCTTCACCTTTCCAGCAAATTTGCTGAAACTCTGTGGCATGAACTGCTCCAGGGATGTGGCTCCCTCTGTTACTCCCCCAAACCACACGGCATCTTCCCTCTTGGAAGGGCAGAGCCAGAGAGATACAAAGTCCCTGCCCAGCCCCTGGCCCCAGGGACCCGGACCTCCTTTGGAGGAGGGAGGAGGTTAGGCCACCTCACTGAACCTCAGTTTTCCTAATAATGGGACAAGTCCCAAGAACAAGAAGTCTCCATGCCCTATGCGACATCAAGGGAACGCTCTCACTCTCATATCCGTAACCAAAGAAACCTTAACACATGACCCCAACCACTGCCCTTCACCAGGGGACCTTGAACACATGAAGTGTAGGGTGAAGATGACACAACTCAGTGTTGGGGAAACACTCCACTTGGCCCGAAGCCTGGCTCCCGATCGGCCCATGACTAATAAGGGTTCTTACTATGACTGTTCCTGACCCATCTCCCTTCATTTTCAAGATCCTACCTCCAGCAGGGATGTCGACCACACCGAGGGGCCAGCCAGGAATCATGGGGTCACCTCTCTAAGCCCCATCGGTGACATGAGACACTAACAGCGCCACTCCCCCAGGGCTATTGAAGAAATTCAGTGGGGTAAACCTGTGCCAGGAGCCCAGCATACAGTACACGCTCCATAGCAGAGAGCTATTATTAATCCTGATATGACTATTATTCCATATTGACACCGGCCGAGCCTTTAATAAAGGGTCACTGCCCTCAGCATGGCTGTTGATTTCTGTTCCTAACATCCCTTGGATCCTCAAGACAGCTGGTGAGATGGATCTTAGGGACTTTACAGATGAGGAAACTGAGTCTCAGAGAGGCCTGGTATCATTCTGAGGGTCACCTGACAGAGACAGGACTCCAAGGGTCCGACCTCCAGGTGCCTGCCCCTCTGGCTCTGCTCCTGGCAGGGATAATGAGAGTTGACTGTCTGTGTTCATCCCAGTCCTCCCCCACCCCCTGCGCACACCCAGGGCCTCGCCTGCTGGGAGCTACCTTCTCCTGCCTGGCCTCCTGATTCGCTCCAGTCCCCTTCTCACTCCCGGGGCTTCTCTCAGGCCTGGGCACATCCTACTTGCCCCCCTGCCCTCCCTGAGGTCAGGGCCAGCGTGGCACTCACCAGCTGCTGATCCGATGGGTGGCGGAGGTGGCACGGGGGAGGGCTTCGTTGAGGCCGGGATGGGGCTGCCCGTCTGCAACAGAGATGGGAGACCCTGAGGGGCTGGGGTCCCCCTGGCTGGGGCCCTTCGCACCCCAGCTCTGGAAGCCCTACCGGGCACCTTGCAAGGGCCCGGCTCCCCCACCCTCGCCTCTGAGAGGCCTTTGGCCTCTACATTCCTGAGCCCTGAAAGGGGTTTCCTTGGAGGAGTCTCCTTCGCTCTCCTGGGGGACACCAGGGGCTTGCTGCCTCCAGTGGTCCTCTCTTTGTCCCTGCTGGGCAACCAGGATGGTGTTTTAAAGTCACACACTGGCAAAAACTCTCCCTGGCTCCTCATACCTACACTAAAAGCCAGATCCCAACCACCACCTACAAGGGCCTGCGAGGTCAGACCGTTGCAGGTCTCTCTAGCCTCACTTCCCTCTCTTCACCCCTCACTCCACCCCAACTGCTCCTGAAATCTCATGCCCAACTAACTTTCTGGCCAAGGGCCTTTGCATTGGCTATGCCCATGGTCCTGAAGAGCCCTTCCCTAGCCACCTGCTAAAGTGAGCTCCTATGATTTTCTCTCCCATCACCTATTTCATTTCTTTCTCATCACTCCCTGAAACTGCCTAGTTCCTTCTCTGCATGGCTGCATGCCTGTGTTCCCTGCTAGCATGTAAATACCCTCCAAGCACAGAGACCTTTTCAGCCTCATTTATTGCAGCACCTAGTGCCTGGCATACAACAGGCGCTAAACAGTACTGGCCAGATAATGAGTGAGAAGCCTTCTGGCCTGAACTGCAGAGGTTCCGTCCCTGCCTTCACACCCCCTTCCAGGCCTACATCCTAGAATCAAACCCCCTCCTGGGACCCCTCACACAGATAGAGCCAACTCTCCATTATCTGCCTGTGGAGCCAAGGCCTGGAGTGACCACAGGGATCTTGGTCTGCGCCTCCTCTGCCCACTAGCCCCATCTGACCAGGCGAGCATACCAATCGGGGCTCCCGCCAGCGGCCTGGGCCAAGGTTAACACATGCAACCAGAGCCCAGCAGATGCAATTGCTGGATTAGTATCAATCTGAAGAAGGGCCAGGAAGAGGACTAGTGCCACGGCTCATTCTTTTTCCAATCTCCCTTCATCAAATTTGCTCAGGACAATGAAAGTTGACTGTCAGGAACCCGAATGAAATAAGGGCAGGAATGGGGAGAGGGCTCTGAAAGGTGTGATCACTGACTGAGGGTCTTTGTGCTGAGCCTGACTGAGCCAGCGGTAGTGGGGAAGGGCTGTGACCGGGTGTGGCCTCTGGAAGGTGAGGTTGCTGATGGAGCTTCAGAAAGTCATTGCCCAGAGCAGTTTATCATCCTTGGTGCTATTCATATTTGGGGCCAATTATTCTTGGAAGGGGCTGCCCTATGCGTGGTAGGATGTTGAACAGCCTTCCTGGTCTCTCTCCACTGGATGTTGGTAACCCCTACCCCAACCCCTGCAGTTATGACAACCAAAAATGTCTCCAGATATGACTAAAGTGTCCCCTGGGGGCAGAATCGCTCCTTGTTTAAGAACCCTTGGAGTAGAAAGATGTGGAGCCAGGGGTATGCTTGGATGCGAGGGCCGGTGTCAGGGTGGGAGGATGGGGTGGGGGGTGCTGGAGACGGTGTGACGGTTGGGAAAGCCAGACCTGAACAAGCCCACAAGCATCAAGCCCACAAGCATCGGAGGTATGAGCTTCTCAGGGTGGGCAATCAGCTCACTAGCAACAGGCCCCGGCACAGCCACAAGCCTCAGGGTCTAGGCATCCTGCTGCTGAGATTCTGGCACCTCAAGCTCCCGAGATTCCGGGCGTCCCAGATTTGATGATTCTGCGATTGCCGTTGTCTCAGAATGCCACGAGCCAGGGGGCTGCTTTGGCCTCTTTGAGCAGCTCCAGCGAGGCTCCTATTTTTAGTGGCAATGACTTTGAAGGAAGCAGGCCAAGCAGAGCCCCATATCGGAGACACCTGGGGGCCAGGAGCTCACCCAGCCAGTAGGGATCCAGAAGTCCCTATGGGTCAGACGAGGCGCCCAGGCAGTCGCCATGCCAAGGGGCCCTCAAGGACTCCCATCTTCTAGGATCCCCAACAGGCTTGGAAATGAGAGGGAGAAGACAAGAAGAGTGTCCATGAGCAGCTTGAACCCCAAGCCAGGCAGCATGGCAGAGGGGCCAGGAATCTAGGTGTTGGAGTCGGATCCTAGTTTAAGGCCCCAGCGGTGACCAGAAGAGCATGCCTTTCCCATTCCAAGCCTCAGTTTCCTCCTCTGTATAGTGGGAATAGCCACCGACCCAGTTTCACATGGCAGGTGACTGGTGTCAAGGAGGTCCCAGTAAATGTTCCATCCACAGAGGCAGCGGTAGTGGGGAAGGAAGGAGGTAGGCGTGCCTAGGGGGGCAGAGACGTCCCAGGTTGGAAGTTGGAGGCTGGCCCCAGAGCCTCAGACCCCTGCTCACTCCATGCTCTGATTTCCTCTCCGGCCTGAGGCTCCCCAAGGGCAGATGCGTTCGTTGTTCATCCCCTGGCCCCCTGGTCCCAATACCAGTCCACACCAAACTCTTCATCCATCCATGTGAACCATCTTAGCTCCTGGGAGGCCAATCAGAGAAGCCAGACATTGGTGGGTGGCTGCAGGGAAGTTGTGGGGCCAATAGCCATATTAGAGGACAGAGGAGGCAGTGGACGCATCCCTGTCCAGGTGGAGAAGTTTGAAGGTAGCCATTCCAGGGGTGCCCTTGGGGGGATTCCAAGGGCTGGGTGGGGCTGAGGGAGGGCCCAGGCTTCGGAGTGGAACAGCAGCCCCAGTAACTGTTCCTATTTATAGACATCACAAGACTCCTAGGGCAGGTGCCCATGCCGGGGAAGGGGGGTGAAGTAGGCTGAGAGGGCAGCAGGGGATGGGGGAACGTCATGTCCGAAGCCCAGGCCCTCCTCCAACCTCCAGGCCGAGACCCCACTTCAAGTCATTCCCACCTCATGCCCCCATTTGTTCAGAGACACCAGGAAGGGTGTCCCTTCCTCTTCAGGCACATGCACTGAGCCCGGGTTGATTCCCTGGGGGCACTAAGGACACACCTACCTACTTACCTGGGGCTTTGCCAGGTAGAGAAAAAGCACCCAATACCTCAGAACCAGAACCAGAAAAGACCCCAGGACCTCAAAGCCTGTCCCCTGGGGCTCCCACAGTCCAGGTCCGGGGCCCGCTCTGCAGGAAAGTTAGAGGGGCACTGTGGCCTGGGACAGGGTCCTGCCTCTCTCTCAGCCTTGGTTACTAAGGTCTGGAAAGGGGAGTTACTAAGGTTCCCTAAGCTCTGATACCCTGTAGGTCTTAGCCTGCCACTCCCCTGCATAACACCTTCAGGTGTTACCAGTCACCTCCATGCCATTGCATAAATGGAGCCCGCTGCCTAATTCACTGTTGCTCATCCTCAACTCCTGGATGTCTCCCCATCCCCCACCCCCCACCCCCAGGCTGGGACAGACTGGGCTCCCCCATTGTAGTTCCAGCAACTATGCCATAACACCTGGTGGTGGGTCTGTCTCCCTGATCCCCGGTGGCAAGGTCCATGAGAGTGGGGGTGGTGTGTGTACTTGGTCACTGGCTGTGTCCCAGTGCCCAGCCCGAGAAGGTGCTCTGTAAATAGCTAAGCATCGTGAGTGTGGCTAAGGGTGCGTGGGGGCAGTGGAGGATGCCTTGACAGAGCATGGCGTTAAGGACGAGGGGTGTCCAGCCAGGTTACTGACCAGCTTTATGACCTTGGGCAACTTCAACCCTCAGGGTCTGTTTCCACATCTCTAAATGGGATAATAACAGCAAAGGCTACCCTACAGAGTTCTTTTTAGAATGACATCAGATGATCACGTAAAGGGATTAGCATGTAGGAAACCCCCACCTGAGTGCTTGCAGATTCCCAGAAACCAAGGCCTTCAGGGCAGGCCAAGGAAATGGAGATGTGTCTGGTGCCTCAGCCTGTGCTGCCCCACCACTTTCCAGCCATATGCTGGGCTCCTCCTTACCACAGGGCCTTTGCACCAGCCACCTCCTCTATCTGGTTCCACTCAAATTGCACCCCCTCAGAAAGGCTTTCCCAGGTCCCCCAGGTACAGGCCTGGTACTCTATTGAACGCCTTCACAGAATCTGTCACTACCTGCCTGTATGTATTTAGTTGCTTCTTGTCTGTCTCCCCTATTAGACTGTTAGGCCCCTGAGGGCAGGGACTTGTGCCTCTTCGTTTATGGCTGTATCCTTAGCCTAGAACAGAGACTGGCACATAGTAGGTGCTGAGTATAATGAATAACTGATGATGCGGGAACAGTATGAGGTCCTCTTTTGCTGGGTAAACCGAGGCACAAAGTGGTGGATGGCGTCCCCGACTATCCAATCTCTCCCCTGCCACTAGAGGGCACAAGCTGTTTTGGCTCATGGCTCAGGGGCAGGACTCACCAAGACAGTGCAGGAAGAGAGAGCCACTGAGGCAGGGTAACCCTGGGGAACAAATGGGCTCAGGAAGGGAGCTTAGGATCCTAAGCTGGGCACCTGGATCCACTTAGTGTGCTCAGAGGAGGAAGCCAGGTAGATCTGAGTTCAAGTCCCAGCTCCTTGTGACTTACTGTGGGGCCTCTGTCAGGGAACTGGTCCACAGAACCTCTGTTTAGTAACTGTAAAATGCAAAACTAAGCAGAGCGCCAGAGAAGGCTCTGGACCCAAGAAGAATCTGAATCTCAATTCAGCCCCCGCTGGGCTGGGTGACCTGGCCCTCTCCGAGCCTTGGGCACTGAGCTGGATGCGCCATCAGGGCCACAGGGCCCACTCTCTTACCAGAAATGCCACCTCTGCCATCCAGAATGTCCCGGGGGCCCTCCTTGGTGACCGGCAGGTAATGGGTGGACCGGAAGATGCCACCATCCCCTTCAGCTGCCTCAGCCCCACCCTCAATGTCCTCTCTCGGTGCTGGGCCGGGCAGTCTCTCAGGGCCTCGAGGACGGTCTGGGGCAGCCAGGCCGCCCACCAGGGGTCCATCCATGGATGCTCTCTGCTTGGCTCCAAGCACTCAGCTGCTGGGCTGGCTCAGCAAGGCATTGTAGATCTGGGGGCAGAGAGACAATGCTTAGGGGAGGTAGGAAAGGGACTCTGCCTCAGTTTCTCCTTCCTTGAAGCCCCAGTCCTCACCCTTGAAGCCTCGTACATACTTCAGTTTACCTCCCAGCCCAGGTGAACTAAATAAATGGTGCTGAGGCCCTACCCAGATACAGTGTACAGAGAACACCTCTCTTTACACAGATCCGGTGCTGCCTCAGTTTACCCATTTTTACACATGCACACCCAGCCACCTTGTTTTATTCCAGCATTAATCCTGCCACTTCTCCCACATGCCTCCCTTTTGCACTTTGCCCAGTTGTGCCCGCACTTCCATGCACACATGTACACTATGCCCATGCCTTGGCATGCATGCAGGTCATCTCTACACTCTGATCTTATACTGGAAGATCATTACCCCTGCACTTTTCCCACGGTCCAGTCCTCCCCCCAGCACGACCTCAGGGCTCTCCAGCATTAATACCTTCACCCTCACAACAGCCTCAAGTGACCCCAGATTAACCCCTTTGCTTTCCCCCAACATCACCCCTCATGCACACCCCAACCTGGGTTCCTCCCTCCCGCCCTCCCAAGATCTCTCTAGTTTGCAGGCAACAGGGATGGATGGGGCTCCTGGTCCAGAAATGAGGACCCTGGGGAAGCCACGCGGGTGGGGGCTGTTCTCTACACCTATAAATACCTTCAAGGTAACGGTCGGAAAGTGAAGGGCAGGAATGAGGCGCCCTCCCTTGGGGAGGCCGGCCGAGGCCACCGGGGCGGGGCCGGGGCTCCCGGCCTGGCTGCAGGCGCTGC